AATAATGGCATTTAACGTTATTTATACATTATTTCTGAAATGCTATATAAGTTTTAAGTTTTTACTTTAATACTTTTGGGGATGCATTTAATAAAGGTGCCTTTCATAGGAATTCTCTGATTCAACATGTGGACATACAGTGAGGATTTTAGCTTCAAAGGAAGTCTACTCCCAGCAAAACAAAATCTATTTGCTGTACAACAAAGCTTCACAATGAGGTCTCTCATGTTCATCCACAGATGGATTCTCAAGAGTGCTATGTTAGCAAAATCTCCAACCACTCATTGGGTCACAGTTCTGATTTATCTGCCAATCCCAAACTGTCATTAGTAGGAGACAGAAAGCAGAAGTGCTAAGGCAGTACCAGAACAAAAGGCCAGACCTGAAAAACTTCTTAGCAGACTGAACTGCAGGGCTGGATTCAATACATCACTTTTATTGGGGCATCTTTCTCCACCAAAAGGAATCTTCCTTTGAACTAGCAACTCTTCCCACTTAAGAAAGACTCCTTGTTTAGCTGAAGACAGTAATCAGATCTAACCCACAGGACCTTCCATAAAGCCAGAATGTGGTAATCCTGTTCATAATTACCCTGTAGGACATCATCACTAAAGGGATGTCCCTGTAAGGGGCACACAGGATCCCTCTTGGGCTTGTTCCTAGGGTTTGTGACCAGGGCCTCAAACAGGGCTTCGAACAGGGGAGTTTATCTTAGGAGCTGAACACAAGAAGTAGAGGGGGATCAAGAGAGAGCTGCTCTAGTCTAAGTTGCCTGAGAAGGGACATACAAGTCCCACATCAGCAACGAGGGTGGTGTGCTGCTGTTTCCTTCCTGCTATGAAAATCTGCACAAGTTCAGGTAAGCACCCTATTTTACTGTAAAATACTTTTAAATGACTAACCACTAATGAAGGTAGAAACCCAGCAGGGAAGCGGGAGCTATTCAACGTTTTGCAGGGAATGCCACATGTATGATTATCTACCACTGGGCAGAAATCATGGGTATGTGCTTGAAGCATGGAGCTCTTGGCTCTCAGAGAGCAGATTTGTTCCCTTCAGACTATGGTTCTTGACCTAGAGAACCTGAGGCAGGGAAAGGTTTGGGGATGAGACCATTAGGGACTCACCAGAAAAGATCCACTCCTGTGCCGACAGCTCCTCTACTGTGGTGGAGAGTGAGAGTCTCAAGGTCGGAGGGCATCAGCCTCAGGAGGAGGGGCACAATCCTTTAGAAGGGACCCCATCCTTGGGTGAAAGACCAATATGCTCTTGTACCAAAGATTCTCTAATTTGGGGTTGAGGAAAGGTGGGCTTTTAGTAGTGGGTGACTCAGTTTTTAGGAATATAGAGAGTGGGGTCTCTGACAGGTTTTTTGACTGCATGGTGCCTTGTCTGCCTGGTGTGATGGTTGTGGACATCACGTGCTGTCTAGATAGGTTGATAGATAAGAGGTGCTACCAGAGCCACACACAAGGCCAGCTGGACAGACACAGATCAGGAGTCTCAATGTGTGGGTGACAAAGTGGTGCTGAGAGGAAGGGTTTAGATTTGTTAGGCATGGAGGAAATTTCTGGGACAAGCCAAACCTATACAAAAGAGACAGGCTTCACTTGAACCAAAAGGGAACAAGGCCAACAGGAGCTGGGGATTCTCTAATTTGGGATGACCGCATAAACACTCAGGGTAATATTGATAGGAGCACAATAGAATTTGGGAGTGAGGGTAGGATGGTGAAGAAGAACCATGTGTGGCAACAAAGGACCAAAGGAGGCGAGCATTGCTGAAGACAGAAACACATTTGTTATTCAGTTACACAGTCGAGTTCGACTCTTCGCGACCCCATGGACAAAATCTTGCCAGGCCCTCCTGTTTTCCGCCGTCCTCTGAAGTTCGCTCAATTTCATGTTCGTTGCATCTATGACACTGTCTAACCATCTCATCCTTTGCCGTCCCCGTCTTCTTTGATCTTCAATCTTTCCCAGCATCAGGGTCTTCTCCAGTGAGTGCTCCCTTCTCATTTCGTGGCCAAAGTATTTGAGCTTCAGTTTCATTATCTGGCCTTCCAGGGAACAGTCAGGGTTGATTTCTTTTAGGATTGACTGGTTTGATCTTCTTGCAGTCCAAGGGACTCTCAAGAGTCTTCTCCAGCACCATAGTTCAAAAGAATCTATTCTTCGGTGCTCGGCCTTCCTTATAGTCCAACTCTCGCAGCCATACATGACTACTAGGGAATACCATTGCTTTGACCATGCGGACTTTTGTTGGCAGGGTGATGTCTCTACTTTTTATCATGCTGTTTAGGTTCGCCATCGCTTTCCTCCCAAGGAGCAGGTGTCTTTGAATTTCATGGCTGCTGTCACAGTCTGCAGTGATCTGGGATCCCAGGAACGTGAAGTCTGTCACTACTTCCACGACTTCCCCTTCTATTTGCCAAGGAGTGATGGGGCCGGATGCCATGATCTTAGTTTTGTTGATGTTGAGCTTCAAGCCCACTTTTGCGCTCTCCTCTTTTACCCTGAGCAAGAGGCTCTTTAGGTCCTCTTCACTTTCTGCCATTAGAGTGGTATCATCTGCATATCTGAGGTTGTTGATCTTTCCCCCAGCAATCTTAATTCCCGCTTGTGATTCATCCAGGCCAGCATTTCGCATGATGTACTCCGCATATATATTAAGTTTCCAAGCCAAGGTGGGAGTGCTTGGTGGTCAATGACAATTTAGTTATGGTAAAAAGGTGTCATGATCTATGCAGGATTGGGAACAAGGCCTAGTGTGGCCGACCAGAGTCCGCAAGAGAAAGGAGGAAGTCAAAGATGCGAGGCAGTCCGATGTTGGTTGGGTCCCCTTTGTATAGTCTGAGGAAGGCGAGGAACTTCAACCATTTATAAGCATATGAAGAACAAGTAAACAATTTCCTGCTATTTAGAAGGACAGTCTCTACCCTTTCGGAGAAGACTCGCCGAGTATTTTCCAGACTGTCAACTTGAGGGGTGGCACATTGTGGTAGGGGACCCATCCCTCTGATGTTAAGAGAAGGTCTGATGCATAGGGGAAGTGGATGAAGGTCCTGTTGGAAAGGCGAAGCAGTACAGGAAACCATGGCTGATGCGGCCACCAAGGAGTCACTAGAATACAATCTGGTTAGTCCAGCAAGATCTTGTTCAGCACCCTTGTCAGGAGAGGAATTGGGGGGGGGGGACTGACTTCCCTGTACAGGGAAGCAAGAGCCTGTCGCCAAGAGAGAAAGGGTCCGTTCCCCCTCTGCAGCAGAACTGGGGACATTTGGAGTTCCTGTGTGTTGCAAAGACATCTATTTGTGGGTGGCCCCATTAGTGGAAAATGGGTCGCAGATACAGTTCCCATTCATGCAATTGTGCCTCCCCCCTCTGCTGAGGGCATCTGCCTCCTCATTCTGGGCACGTGGAAGATGAGCTGCCAATATCCAAATGTCTTGTTTCAGGCAAGTTCCCTTTAAATTGCTTTTGCAAAGCCAAGCTAGCCCGTGCTGCCACTGCAGGGCTTGAAGAATTTATTAGGCTCCATTATACCCTTTAGATTTAAATGCCTTCTCAAAGCTGCCGCCATGGGCAAGTGACCTCAGAAGGCAGCTTTTATTCAGGCTCAGCTAGATCAGTAGCTGAATCAGATTAGAGAATCTGATTCAGCGGAATAAATACCTAAATAATACCAATAAGGTATTTTTGGGGTATTTATTTGGCTCAGGATATACTGGGCGCACACCCCTACTGGAAAGTGAAGTAAGGAGAAAAGCTGAAGGAAAAGGTTGAAGGACCAGTCACTTTTAATTCTAAGACAACACAGAATAAAGTAACTTCAGATATAGGAGGAACTCAAAGAAATTAACCTTTATGATGTAGATTAAGAATAATTTTGACATAATTTGTTTATATTTCCAGCCCAAACCAATCCCTGAGACTCAGGGCACACATCAGTAAGTTAAAACAAATGTACAGACATGTAAAATAGCCAAATGAAATCAGCTGACCAAATAAAGCATCTCTAAAACTAAACCCAAAGTTCCATAGTGACCATGCCCCACTACAAACAAGCCCAAATAAATTACTCCATAATGTTTCCCAAAGATGCTCTTCATTGAAATTTTCCACAATCATAGCTCCATTCATATTTGTGTTGTCTGATATTATGAAGAAGGCAATCCTCTGCTCATGTTAAGAGACAATAAAGGTTCCCATAGTGTTGATCTTTAGTTTTCAGTGTAGATCCTATCTTACATGTGTGCTGCATCAACTTGGACCAAACCCACTAGTTCAGACAGGGACTTAAAGATGTGCATGCCCTGACCTGGATAGCCCAGGGAAGCTCGATCTCGTCGGATCTTGGAAGCTAAGTAGGGCCAGCCCTGGCTACTATTTGGATGGGAGACCTCCAAGGAATACCAGGGTTGTGACATAGCAGCACGTGATGGAAAGTAACTGGCCTTCAAGCCCCACTAGAGGTCACCAGAAGTCAGCTTGACTTGATGGCAAAAAAAAGAAGTGAATGAACTGTGTTGAATTAAAGGCATATCAAAATTATTGAAATGGCTAATGTATTTCAGTTATTTCCAGTAACATTAGACTGCCACTGAGATGAGTGCTTGTCAGTATATAGAATGGTACTAAACATACTAAACATACACCAGCAAAATGCAAATATTGTATGTGATTCCTGGTGGCAGTGGCAGCTTTTAATTAATTAATTAATTAATTAATTAATTAATAATAACAACAAAATTGAAAATTTACTACCAGGCAAATGGATTAGACCTGATTTAAAAACAAAAACAAAAAAACCTCTCCATTCATTTAGACATCTTGTCATCCAGTCAGTCATGGCATCGCAGTTCATCCAATAAGTGGAACTGCTGAATGTCATAAGAAGATGAATGCTACATGCATTCATGTGTCTTCTGCCAGTGTTTTCAAAACTTTTAATTATACTCAAACAGCTGGTAGCATCATTGACTCAAAGTGTCAGATTACCTTGATTGCTCTGTCATTATCTCTAATTAGCTGCTTCTTCTCATCTTCAAACTTTTGTAAAACATCCTGCAGGTGCCTTTCTGCAGCAAGCTGCTGCTGGTTGCTTTCCTCTGTCAGAGAGGAAATGGTTGTCTTAAGTTCAGCTATGATCTAAAAAGAAAACAGCATGCTAAAAACCACAGTAAACAGATTTTGCATGTATTTATGCTTGACACATGAATTGGAGTTGGCAAACTCCACTGTGAAAACTAAATAGTTTAAATTAACATATTATACACCAGCAAGCAGAACATTCCACACAGAGAAAAGAAATATAAGACAGTACATGGCATAAAATGACTGCACATAAAAGTATCTGGTAGAATTTCCACTGTAAAGTCCCCCAATAATTTACTCACCAGAACAAAGTACATTTGTGAAGTGAAATAGGGCTTTCCACTATTCCATTTCACTGAAATGGTTATTGAAAATTAACCATTTGAAAGACTTTTGCACACTTTGGGGAATATAATAGCACCGATTCAAAACTCTGAATGCACTACAAAACAACGACATTGTAGACAGGAATAATAAAAAGTCATAAATGAAATTTGGGGGGTTTTGGCATAGAATGTAGCAAGGGATCCAAAGAACCACATTTGTCTACCTAAAACACTTCTGCACATGCAAGGGGGCTGTGCCAGTGTCCCTCTCTGGCTGTAGCCTGTCATGCAGTGCTGGGCCAGTGACCAACTGGTGCAAGGGAGGGAACAGGAGGCTGCTGGGGGAGTGGGGCGGGAGGGGCAGAGCCACTCTGATTGTGGGTTCAGCACAACGGAACAACCTCATCTGCAGCAAGTCAAGCAGAACCCCTTCACTTCAGTGCCAGCTTCACTGGTAAGTTGAGAGCCACCGCAGCCGCATTCATGCCGGCTCGGGGTTCCAAAGCGAGGTTGCGTACCTCTTTGTTTGGCCTAAAGCTCCAGGGATGCTGCCCCAGATGGCCACAGGCTTCAGCACGTGGGAGGTTGAGATAATGGGGGATGTTGCTGCATGGGGGTGGTGTGGCTTGCCGACGATCTCTAGCTTAACTCCCAGCATTGCCATGCCATGGATCGCCTGGTGGCCTTGGTCGAAGGCGGCCACTGCAGAACAGGCATCTCCAGCTTATCAGGCTTTGCTTGGCCTGAATCCTGCCATGCACGTGGCCTTGGACTTGGGCCGCCACCCCCCTGCTTCTGTGGGTGGCAGCGGGGGGGGGGGTTAGTTCAACATCTTCTCAGTCCCCTTCCATGGTGGCTTGGAGGCAGGGGAGAACTTGTAACACCCAGCTGCTTTGTGTTTTTACCCTGGAGTCCAGGCTCACAGCATTGGCAGAGGGAGTGGGCTAGGGAGGGGATTTGCCCACCCTCTAAGCAGCATGGGGGCAACTACCCAGTGCTGCACTGCTGGCTCCCCAGTCTGCCCATGTGGGTTTTCCTCTGCACCCCCTCACCCCATTGGGCCTTAAACACAACAACATGGAGCTTACCAGCTGCTGTCTTTTATGAAGTTTATATCTCTGATACCTGGCATTACTTTTTATGGCACACATGGCCGACCCAACAAAGATCTGGCCCTTGTAACAAATGAGTTTGACACCTCTGCTATATACTAATAGCCAAGTTGGCCAAATCTGAGAATCATTAAATCCAGTGATTGGAGCTGTGAAAGGGCAAGACACATCTTTCTGCAAACCTGAATAACACCCCAAAATAAAGAGGAAATAGTGTGGAGAGGGGGATACAGGGGAAAGTGAGGCACTCTCCATAAGTCCTTGAGGGTTCCCTGCCATGCAAGTGCGTCTGGCTCAGTGGCCAGCACCACACAATTGGGCCATGGTTTTTCTAAGCAGAGTCTGCTGGAAGGGAAAGGGAAACCTGAAGATAAAGGGGCAGATAAATGTAGGTTGGCTGTTGGGTGGGAAGGGGAGAAGGAAGCAGTAGACACTATGGGGGTTTTCAGGAAAAGGAAAGAGGAAATAGTGTGTGTGATGGGGGATGGAGTGCCTTCTGCAATCCCTTGTGGTTTCCCACTTGTCTGTATTCTAACAGCTAAATCAGCCAAATTTAAGGCTACCTAAATCCATGAACAGACAAGACAGATCTTTCTAAAAACCTGGAAAACACTCCAGGTTTGCAGAAAAATCTGAAATCTAAAAAAAGCAAACAAATCCCACCCAAAAAAGGCAACTGGAGGGATACACACAACTTTCATGACTCACCTAGGTCTGGCTACTCGGTAAAGTTCAACAGCAGTCATCCCATGAAAGTCAGTGTCGTGTAGTGGTTAGAGTTTCAGACTAGGACCTCAAATCCCCATTCTGCCCTGAAAACTCACTGGGTGACCTTGGGCTAATTACACATTCTCAGCCTGACTTACCTCACAGGCAGGGCCAAGACTGACCATTAAGATAACCTGGATGGCTCCCAGTGCACTGCTGGCCAGCCAGTTCTGTGACAGAAGGGCTGAGCCTGGCCCAGCTAAGCCCTACACAAAATGGGAGAGACAGTGCTCAGCCAGCCTGTGGGAAGGCAGGAGAGAGAAAACCTCTGGAGCCCTGCGTGAGAGGTGAGACAGGGAAGGTAGCAGCTTCTGGCTAAACCTCCTCAAGGCAAGGCAGACACTGGTACCTGGCGCAGCCAACACCCTCAATGAGGCGAGGCAGACACTGGTGGTGCCTGACATGGCTGAGCCCTTTGTAATGTGAGGCATACAGTGGTGCTGGCCAAGCCTCCCACAAGGCAAGGCAGAAGGCAACTCCCAGCCTTGCCCTGCACAAGATGAGGAAAAGCAGAGGGCAGTGCTCAGACCAGCCCGGTGCCAGGCAAAGCAGAGGGCAGTGTCTGACCAAACACTTTACAAGGCAAGACAGAGAGTCTTGTATGGCCGTGGCCCCGCCCCCAGCGTGCCCGGCGTCCTGCCATCACTTCCGGGTGATGTGCGTGCAGCGCGCGTGCACCAGACGCCGGCCGGGAGCCCCCTGCTCCCGGCGAAGATCAACTTGGCAACCCTAAGTGGGGGTGAGTCCAAGCCAAGGCAGAAGGCAGTGCCCAGCTTGGCCTAGCAGATTCCCATATTAGATAAGGGAAGCACCCAGTTGAGATGAGGGAAGCAGCACCTGGCCCATTTGAGACCTGTCTGGAGTAAGGAAAGCAGTACCTGGCCAATTGGTTAAGCAGGCTGCCTCTTCCATCTCCCCTTTGGGAGGGAGAAGCAGGGTCAGACAGACTGTGTCTTCCTCTCTCCCTCCTTCCTATGGGGGTGGGGCCAGTGTGAGCTAGGGGAAGGGCCCTTTCCCAGAGTTTTTCCCTCCCAGTCTGCCCCTGCTCACAGGGTAATTCCAAGGATAAAATAGAGAAGAGGAGAATGAGTTAAGGTGCTTTGCATCTCCATTGTGTAGAAAGATGGGCTATAAACGAAGTAAAAAAAATAATAAATATAGTTGAAGATTGAGGGGCAGATAAAAAGGAGGTTGGTGGGTGAGTGGAAAGGGGAGAAGGAAGCAGAGAAAAATGAAGATCTGAAGAAGTGAGCAGTGACTCACGAAAGGTCATACCCTACCACACATTTTGTCTTTAAGGTACTACTGGGCTCTTGCTCTTTTCTATTGCTAGGGGAAAATGAAGATGTGTAGATTACCAGGATGAGGAAAAGAGGAAATACTGTAAAGAAGGTCTGATGGGGGGAATGGGGTGCCCCTCACAAGTCCCTGCAGATTTTCTGCTGCACAATTGGCCACTCTGACAAATCAGCACCGCAGAACCACGCCATAGTTTTCCCAGGTAGAGGGTGGCAAGTGTAGGGTAGGGCAGAAAACTGAATATGTGGAGCTGGTAAAGAAAGGTTGGCTGTTGGATGAGAAGGAGAAGGGGCAGGAAAAGGCAAGAGGCTATGGGGGTTTTGAAGAGTAGGGGAGCGGGAAATTCAACCCACAAGTCTTTGTGGATTCCTGCTTGTCCTTCCTAAACTGTGGTGCTTCAAAACTGAACACAGTACTTCAGGTGAAGTCAAACCAAAGCAGTGTGCAGCAGCACCAATACGTCATGTGACCCTGACATTACATTTCTGCTAATGAATCCTAAAATCACATTAGACCTTCCCACCCCAAATCCTTTTCACAGGTGGTACTACTGAACCAGGTTTCACCCATCTAGTATTTATATAACTGTTACTTACTATCCAAGTGCAACACTTTATACTTGTCCCTATCAAGCTTCATTGAATTTGCCAGTGGCGCCCTCCATCTTATCCAATGCCAGCTGCATCCTAATACCTCCAAGGTACTAACTAACCTACCCAGTTAAATATCATCCACAAACTTGATGAGCACATTCTGAACTCTCTCAAATAAGTCATTTATAAATATGTTTATACAAATATAAACCTTGAGACACCTCATTTGTCACCTCCCTCTAGGATGATGGGGAACCAGCAACTATCATCCTTTGGTATGATATATTACTAAGCACGCCTTGATCCACCTAACAGGAATAGGATCTACTCCATATTTCACCAACTTCTCAATAAGAACTTCATGGGGCACCATGTCAAACACTTTACTAAAATCCAAACATCTGCAGAATTCCCCTGATCCACCAAACTAGTAACTGTATCCAAAAAAAGAGATCATAGCCCCAATCACGCACACAATTAGCTGCGCGAGAGGGATGAATGCCGGGCGGATGTGTATTTATATTTAGGATTTTTGGCTCCATTGTGCATCACCTTGCACTTGGCCACACTGAACCCCATTTGCCATGTTGACGCCCACTCGCCCATCCTCGACAGATCCCTTTGGAGTGCCTCACAATCCTCCCTGGTTCTCACCACCCTGAACAACTTTGTGTCATCTGCAAATTTAGCCACTTCACTGCTTACTCCCAACTCCAAATCATTAAAGAACAAGTTAAAAAGCATTGGACCAAGTACTGATCCCTGCGGTACCCCACTGCTTACCACCCTCCACTGAGAAAATTGCCCATTTATACTCACTCTAGAAAGACAAGATGGATTTGAAGATAAAAGATTTTCCCGATATTGATTAGATATTTAGAGTGAATTCAAGATTTGCATTCAAGCACAAGCTGTTCTGAGATATATTGGTCTGTTTCACTCATAAGAAAACACAA